AGAAAAACGGCTGCCCGAATTGGGGAGGGCGGGGCCGCCGCAATGAGTGTTGCGGGAAGGCGGAGCAAGGCGGGGGAGCGTGTTGCCGGTTTCGGTAGTTCCCCGGGTGAGCTGTGCCTGAGCAGCAGCCTCCTCCTTCTGGGAAGCTGGGGCTTGGTGCCGGGAGGCATCCCCCGGGCGCGGAACGTAGCATCCCCCCACCCCGGCCAGGGAACGTCGTTCCTGCCCCCGGGCAGGAGGTGGGGGACAGGGAAGAAGCATCTCCCCGTCCGGGAGGGGGGCAGGTGGGGGATATGTTAGTGTGTTCTCGGAGGATGATCCGGAGCCGCGGCTTGTGCGTTGTGTGGGTGTGTGACTTGCTCAGGTGAAGTGAAAGTGAGCGGTTCCCCCTCACAGCACGCAGGCACTTAGAATCATAGAATCATAGAATCCTAGGGGTTGGAAGGGACCTCGAAAGATCATCTAGTCCAACCCCCCTGCCAGAGCAGGGTCACCTAGAGTACATCATACAGAAACCTTGTCCAACCTGGCCTTAAAAACCTCCAGGGATGGGGCATCAAAAACCTCCCTGGGCAACCCATTCCGGTTACTCACCACCCTTAGAGTGAACAATTCCTAATATCTAACCTAAATCTCCCCTCTCTCAGTTTAAAACCATTACTCCTTGTCCTGTCACTACCCTCTCTGATGAAAAGTCCCTCCCCAGAGCCCCATCTCTCTCAGCCTGTCTTCATAGCAGAGGTTCTCCAGACATTTGATCCTCTTGGTGGCCCTTCTCTGGACCCTTTCCAACAGGTCTAGATCTTTCTTGTGCTGAGGGCACCAGAACTGTACACAGTATCCCAGGTGGGTCTCACCAGAGCAGAGTAGAGGGGCAGAATCCCCTCCCTGGCCCTGCTGGCCACACTTCTTTTGATGCAGCCCAGGACGCAGTTGTTCTCTGGGCTCCAGCACACACTGGTCGCTCATGTCAAGCTTCTCATCTACTATCACCCCCAAGTCCTTCTCCTCAGGGCTGCTCTCCAGCCATTCTTCCCCCAGCCTGTATTTGTGCCTGGGGTTGTGCCGACTCAGGTGCAGGACCTTGCACTTGGATGATTTATATCTTCCAAATGCTGCAGTATTACTAACATACTTAGCAGCCACATAAAACAAGTGCTGACTTTATTTTTTATTTTTATTTAGCTTGAGTCCTTCAGACACACTAGGTGGTTTCCCAGAAGTGTAATTTTGATGCATTGTTTGCAATATGCATGTTTGAGGCTTTTGTTTATGCATATCTCTCTCTGCATTTACCAAGTTGGCAGTACTAATTGTCATATTATTTCAACTTTGATATATAAGAAGTATCTCATTTCCTAAAGAAAGTAATATTCAGTAGACATACACAGCGAGCATGTTCCAAAAAGTTAAATTAGTGGAGTTCCCAAGACAAAGAGGGGCTGCCCAGGGGAAAAAAAGGGTAAATCATTACTGCTTCTGGAAAACTCCCTTTTCTTCATCAGTATATTAAAAGGCTTTCTCTTAAATGACCTAGGTGACATCACAGCTGGCTTAAGGTTTAATTATTGAAGTTATCTGGCATAAACTGCAGCTAAAATAAAAAGTAATTGCAGTGCAAATTAAAATGTAAAACATTTCCTTGACATTGTGTTGTAAAACTCAAATATGATGTGATTTCAATTGAAGTATTCTCTGTGGTGTTCTGATTTTGACATTATTTAAAGCAAATTCTACAGTTAATGCTGTAATGGCATTCAGGAAAGCCATGTAACAATATCTTGTTGACTTTCTATTTCCAACTGTAAACTGGGTCACAACCTCAGATCTGAGACACTTATGTGCAGTTGATTTTCTTTTTAACAATTTTTAAGAAATTTTGAGAAATGCCTTCATAAGTGTATTTCTCAGTCAGTATAAAACCTAACTTGTTTCAGCAGTTCATCACATATGAAAAAGCATTATTCTCATGTGTTACCTATTTTAACATAAAATCCCTCTCATATCTCTGAATGTAAGCAGGATCCCTTCTTCTAGTAAGTTCAAAGTGACCTGCAGAAAAAATCAATGGTGCATTTAAGGAAATACAATGACTAAATTTGAACTCTTGATTAGTTTTTACACTTTTGGTATGTTGAAGATAAAATAAGTCTGTCTGTCTATATAACCACAGTAACACATCGACTTCAGTCTCTGAGGAACTGCAGCTCCCTCATCAGTGAAGAGAAAGCCATGGACTCCCCCAGGTGTGGTCATTATGGGAAGAGAAAAGTGATGGAGATGATGTGTAGTGAAGCTGCTGGTTTCAGTGCTATTGTGTG